CACACAACAGAGTTCACAGGCACCACAATGTATAGTCGGCTTTATCTACATTATCAGTAAACCCATTACAGCTAGAAGAACGATCTGGTATTTTTTAAAACTATTGCAATCATAATTCAAACACAAAAGCTCAATAGAAATATTGACACCCAGACTCCTGAAAAAGTACAAGGAGAATAAGACCTGGGCCTGTATTCACGAAACCATTCTCAAGCTCAAGCATAGATTTTGTGCTCACGTAAACTTTTTCATAATTCACCTAAATAATATAAAATAATACAAATGTCAAATTTAAACCTTGAATATAGCTTTGACTTGAAGTCCTTTCAAAATTGTTTTTAAATCTTCGGCAAAATAAGCATATTTATTAATTTTTGATTTAAACAAGACATAAGGGTGAGCAGAAAATTCATGTTTGAGCATAACAACCGGCATGTCAATCTTCTTGGTCAATCTAAGTAAGTTATGTCACGTTCCCAAAACGGAACTAAGTGAACGGAACCACAGGACATAACTCCGGATACACTAATTTCATATCGAACAAAGAAATACAATTGTTCACATAACTGCATATATATTGTTGCTAGTGCAATAACACCAATAACAGCATATAGTTTTTCATTATCATAACACATGTGACATATTACTAATCACATAACTACCCTGTTATAATTCTGATACAAATCACATAACTACCCTGTTATAATTCTGATACAAATCACATAACTACCCTGTTATAATTCTGATACAAATCACATAACTACCCTGTTATCAATGTTATTACACCCATAGCATAACTACTCTGTTATCAATGTGATAACACTCATAGCATAACTTCCCTGTCATCAGTATAATAACACCCATAAATTAACTATCCTGTTATCAGTGTGATAACACCCATAACATAACTATCCTGTTATCAGTGTGATAACACCCATAACATAACTATCCTGTTATCAGTGTTATAACACCCATTACATAACTACCCTGTTATCAGTGTAATAAAACCCATAACTTAATTATCCTGTTATCAGTGTGAAAACACTCATAACGCCCTCCCATGCTATCAGTATGATAACACACATAGCATGACTACCATGTCAGCATTGCGATAACATCCATAGCATAACTTCCTTGTAATCAGCAAGAAACACAACTACCATGTTGTCAGTGTAATAATACCGACACACGTGTAATGTGGCCTTGTGGAGCAGTGGTTGACGACACACGCTTAATATGACATTGTGTTGCTATGGTTGCCGACACATATGTTATGTGGCCTTGTGGAGCTGTGGTTGTCGACACATGTGTAATGCTGTATTGTAGGCCTGTTGATATCGACACATATGTTATGTGACTTTGTGGAGCTGTTGTTGTCAACAAACATGTAATGCGGCATTGTGGAGCTATGTGTGGTGACACACGCGTAATGAAGCATAGTGGGTGTGTAACTGACCACACACGTGTAATGTGGCATTATGTGTCTGTGGTAGCCGAGGCAAGACTAATGTGGCCTTGTGTAGCTGTACTTGCCGAAACACGTGTAACGATGCCTTGTGGAGCTATGAGTGACGACACATGTGTAATATGGCATTGTGGGTCTGTGATTGTCGACACACGTGTTATGTGGCCTTGTGGAACAGTACTTGACGACACACGCGTAATATGGCCCTGTGTTGCTATGGTTGCCGACACACGTGTAATGTGGGATTGTGGGTCTGTGGTTGTCAACACATGTGTAATGCGGCATTGTAGGTCTGTGGATATTGACACATGTGTTATGTTGCCTTGTGGAGCTGTAGTTGTCAACACACATGTAATGCGGCATTGCGTTGCTATGGTTGCCGACACACTTGCAATGACGACACACGTGTAATGCTGTCTCGTAGATCTGTGGCTGCCGACACACGTTTAACGTGTCATTGTCGGTAATGTCGGCTTTTGATGGATCTGTGGCTGTCAAGGGTCCCCATCGTTGTATCGCGGCGTCATAACTTCATGTCGTCACCTATAAGATACATAGATTGGGATTGACGCTAATATTGATTTTGAGTCAGTCAGATACTATTTCTCGGAGGAAATAATCTTAAATGTGTTGTCAAACTGACAATCGCTTCACCTCTTTGACCAACTTTGTATATAGTTCATACCGCAGGGTCCTGTTCTTTCTTAGTGGATTCCATTGAGAGAAAGCTGTTAGTGCTTCTACCTTCCCTCTCTTTCCCACCATCATGTTGCTATATGTGTGTGACATTGGTGATTTATTTATTATTATTATTTTTTTTTTGTTTTGTTATTGTGTGGGTTTTTTCTTGTGCATTATGATGTTCCTTTACGAATTTAAATGCGGGAGGTGTACTAATGAAATACTTCTAAGAGGCAGTTTTATGACAGTATTTTGTTTACATTAGCAAATATAATGCCTCAAAGCATACGGGTTTTACGAACTTTCATATGTATATATACATGAAATAAATGTTGTGATGTACCCTGAATCTCATCCTTTTCGTTATATGTTTAATGTGCAAGAATTTATCTCTGAGAAAATGAAAGGCTTAAAATGTAGTGTATTTTGCATTCTGCCAAAATATTACCATGGAAACAGGTGAGTCACATAATTATATGTCATGTCTTGTATGGTTTTATCACTAAACAACAGATTACCATACTAGTATGAACACAATAACCTTTGAACTTGCGCATGAAAATATTACAGGCACTACATTTACCAAAAACATTGATTTGTTTAAATTTTACCGCACACGGGCAATGATTTTTTTAACAGATGAAAATGTAAACAAAAATTTGAAAAAAATATTCAACTAATATATCATAAAAATTTCTATCATAGTTAAAAATAATTACCCAATATATTGCTTTCACATTTTGTCGTCTGCAACGTCAACGCCGATGACGACGTCGATCTCAAAATGTATGGAAGCTTTGACTTAAAAAACGACATGTTTACTTCTTCACCTGAACACGTGAACACTTTCTACAGCTCTGATGAAAAACTTTTAAGCAACATATATTTTAACATTAATTAATCGGATTAGATATGATAATCTGTGAAAATGTTTCTGTTTGTTACTCTCACACGTTAACATAGAATATATTCTTAGAGAGATTGTACAAGGTTAACATAAAACATCCAATCCTTGTGTAGTAATGTAAAACGCCTGTGTTGATCTAAAACAAGTAAGATAAAGTTTCAGTACAAATATCAACAATCGGGTCAGTATATTATGAATACATAAAACAACCTCTTCGTGGAGGATGAATTTTGTAGCCAATCCATGAATCTATCGACAAATCAATCAAATTTGTCATTTTCTGTTAATAACTCTTACATTTTATCCTTGAAATTATAATTGCTAAAGATTTTTCCCCTAAATAAAAATAGGAGTTTAATTAGATGACAACACTGAGCTATGTTCAGGAAATAAAAAAAATATACAAACACAAAACTCATAAACATTGGCTAACTGTTTTATTTATCATTATATCATAATCATATTACTTAAGTATAAAACGGTAACAACTATTTTTAAAAGAAAATTAAGTGAAGTACACAACTCCTTCATATGATGTTTTTTTTAATCAGAATCCCACAATTGACAAGTGACTTTCATATCGTATAATTCGGTCATGGTAGTGCTCCAAACGAAAACGATATCATCGTATAGAATATACCTCTATTTGACCTACCTTATTACTTTCTTCAAATTAAAAAATTCAGCGAGACATTATGACTTTTGCTGTTGTTTATCTGGTTAAAACGTGCAACAAAACAAAAAATAATTGATCCGCGAATATTAAATATCATTGATTTATAAACATTCATATTTATCAGCAGTATCATTATATCAATACTTGTACCGCGTAAATGTATGATGGCGCTGATTGCAGTTTCAAAATATTGTTAATATTACAAAAAAGCAACTGCTGTGGATGCGCAACTTTATCACTGTCTAACCTGTTATTCACCAAATATTGAAAAATTCGTTAAAATTTGATCGCGCAATACGAAGTACGTTAAAAGTATGCCACTTTATGTGAAGGTTACTCAATGATGATTTAAACGATATTTTTGTACATGTACATACATTGTAACACACCTACACTTATGTAACAAAACAGCCATGTTGGTAAGTGAGCTGTACTTGTAAATTACAATAATAGGTTACCTTATATTGAAATACAAATGTTAAACATCACAATAACAATAAAACGTTCAGGCACATTACATAAATATGAAACAATCATTGTTCATTTAACACATTTCAATAGCATTAAAATACATTTTCAAAAATACGAATTTTTCTCATTGAAAATATAACTTAAAACGTCCTCCTTTTCTTCATTAATCGCTATCTCTGGAAACCACGTGTTGTAATATTCAATATGAACCAGTCTGTAGTGACGTGTAACCAATTCAGTGTTAAGAATAAACCAGTGTATGTCTCCATATCGTCAATGATGAATTACGCCATTGAACATGTTTGTTTGGTTTGCTCTAAATAATACTTTACGTAAAAAATCATGATTCAAAACATTGATAAGAAACTTCAAGTTTAAAACTGATACTGGTTATAATAAAGATAAAAAAACCCCTATGTATCATGTTTATTTATAAAATAAATCAAGTGCTACTCTGCTAGCATAATGTATTTAGCTGATAGACAAATACGCGTATTCAAGTCAAGTAACTAAGACAAATTAACGTATTCTCTACAGTTAACAGGGAAAAATTGTTAAAAATCATGTCCAGCTGGAGTCAATTAACTAAAGTAAATAAGCCGGAGATGAAAGTTGTTACTAGTTTACATCAATACATGACACAGAACATCCGTAACAAAGAATATGAACATTTTTTTTTCTTACAATTTAAACTAGATGAGTCACACCATATTTATCAGTCTATATGATACACTCTGTGTGGTCGACCACTATCTTGTGTATCATTTTTCCCAAACCTCGATTCTACACTTTAGTCTGTTTCAATAAACAAGTTCAGGTTGTTGGATATTGTCCAATATTGCATCTTCCGGGAGTTCTTCGACGTCCTGTATTTCTTTTTCGTCTGTAGGTGTTTGTGATAAATTCAGAAGGTAGTCGACTATATCCGAAAAGGTAGTTGAGTCGTTTAGCAATCGGACAATAGGAATTCTGTAAGTCGTCAAATCGCGAATGGATTTCGTGAAAGTAATTGCCTGCATGGAGTCAAACCCAAGGGAGGACAGAGTGGAAGAGTTTTCGATCATCTCCTCATCTATTTGTAAGACCTGTGCAGCAATGTCCTTCACACAGGCGGTCAATCCTTCACAGTTCGTTATATCATACTTTCCAGTCGGTCGCAAAGTGTTTGAATTCATTAGGCTCTCTCCGTTGCCAATGACATGTCTGAATCTTTTTCTGGTTCTTAGAGGAATGGCATCCACGAAATGCTCTTCAATGTCTTTCCAAACAAAGGAGCCGATGATCATCTGATTCCTGCCCATCATGAGTGATTTGACGAAGTATTCGTGTATGTATTTCTCATCTAAGCAGATAAATCCGTGCTTCTGGAGCTGTTCTCGCACTGCCATGTGCTCAAGTAAACCTAATGGCAGAGGTCCCCAGTTGATTACTTGGCCTGGCAATCCTTTGGCCACCCTGTATTGAGCGAGAGTATCCATAAATGCGTTCGCAGCTCCGTAGTTACTTTGTGCCGTATTCCCAAAGATTGCTGTTATCGATGAATGGAGGACAAAGTAATCTAATGTGTATCTTTTCGACACTTCGTGAAGATTCCATGTTCCGAGGACTTTTGGTAAAAGGACTCTCCTTAGCATATCTTCAGTCATTTTAGTGAACATTCCGTCTGCTAATACAGCTGCTCCATGAAAGATTCCCTTAACTGCTCCTTTGCCAAATTTTCCATCAATCTTGTCAAATGCTTCTTCCAAGGCTGTCTTGTTGATGATGTCAACTGCGAGAGGCATAACCTGCACCATATGTTTAGCCATTAAAGCGGCAATATCACTTTTCCTTTGCGCGTCCGGGGACTTCCGGGAAAATGTCACGATCTTTCCAGCACCTGCAGCTGCGATACACTGAACAATTTCCCATCCTAATCCCGTCAATCCACCTACCACGACATAGCACCGGTTCTTCCGAAATAGTTGATTTTGTGTCACTTTGACTCGCGCGTTTGGTTCGATGTTGTTTCGAGATGGCAGCAACGCTATTCTCTCTTTTGGTACTTTTCCACCGAAATCGTTTAGTTTGGGAAAGTTATTCTGGAGCCATCTCACTGCTTGAGGAACAATCTTTCTGAGCGTATTCTGACTAAGCATTTGTTCTGTGTTTAGTACTTTAAAACATACCGAAGGGTATCTATTCTGTACAGACCTCATTCCATGACTTGCTAGTGTCATATTTGTTGCAACTACGAGTTGTATATCTCTGAATTGACGTAATGCATTGCCAAACTTTGAAAAATCTGTTGGTTGAAGAATGATCAAATTTGTGACTTCAGTGATTGGAGTAGCATCAAGATCAACAATGGACCTGATGGTCGCTGACCCTTCTTTCACTGCCAAAAGCATAGTTTGCAGAATTTCAGCAAATACTTCTCCTGGTTCAGCCAGAATCATGGTGTTCCCTTTGAACAGATGTTCTTTCATCTGTAACAGCATTGCAACACGTGTAAGAAGACCCGGACAGTAATTGGGCTTGTCATCAATTCTCAGCAAACAGTCCTTGGAAATGGTGACTTCCTTTTGCACAGTAAGTGCTGAACAAGCAACGTATTTCTCTTCCAAATTGATTGAGGTCTTTCCTGATGCGATTTGCTTTGATTCTTCCTTCACTGTACCGCAAACCTCATACGTCAAAATGTCGTATCCATCCTCCTTGTCGTCCTGCCAAACTGGAACATCATTATCAGCGGACTGTAATGTTAGCGGAGAGAAGTTTTGGTCATGCAAAACAGCTGTGTCCACATGCATTTGCACTCCCGACTCAAGTTCCTCTTCTGATTGTAAAGTGTAGAATGTTTCTTCAATATCGTCCGGTTTGGTACTTTTTAGGTGAACAGGGTCTCCATCGGTTAATGAGTTCCACCTATATGGATCGAGTTTTTCCTGCAATTTCACAATCCTGTTGCAATATAGACTGTTTTCGGTAATCAGCAATTCGCAACAATCATTGCAGAGAATTGGAGACTGAAATATCAAAATATCTCGAAGAACAGGACAGCTGGATCGCAAAGTGGTGTGTATGTCAATAAGTGTCAAGTTAAGTGGACATTCACGTACAACTGTTCTAGCAATCCCCCAAAGTTCAGATCCTATTACGTTCTGCACAGTGCTGGCTTTGTTTCTCACTGACTGAACCTTTTCGGTGATAATAAGAACAGGTAATTGAGTATCGTTTTGCATCTCTAGGACTTTGCATAAACACAATAATGCTTCAGAGTTGTCAAACACTTCTTGCATGATTTGCTCTCCGTTCATTTGACTGCAGTTGGCGGCGTCTGCTATAAACAGAACCGAGTTGATAGAATCCGGACCTTTCATTTCGAGCAGATTTGTTACTTTCTGTTTGAAGTTTTTATCTTTCACATCAATTCTAACTACTTTACTTAGGTTCAACTCTGACAGAATAACTGTTTCAGCTGATTCCGAAGACGATATCAATAGAGACTTTTGTTTGGTGGTTTCTGCTGGTTGCGTTTGCTGTGTCTTTTTCGGAAACATGTCAATTTCTTCCCACTGTACTTCGTACAGGAAATGGTTGTCCAAATTTGGTTCTATCTCAATGCAGTTAATGACATAATCTTTTACTTCGGCAACTATGTTTCCATCAGGTGTCATCAGTAGAGCATTGTACCGGAAGTCACTATCCGATTGACAAGACAAAGAGGTAAATGCAAGCATCCTTCTTTCTGGCTTTTGGTGCAAACGAAAGCTACTCATTCCTGCTGGTAATAGAGTCTTACTGCTTTCTATTACGTTATTGAGTACAGCGGGTGTTTGGAGAAGACCATCCAAGACGGCAGGGTGTATATGTGTACATGACGTATCCTTCATAATGGCCTCAGACAGCTCAATTTCCATTAAACACTCTGTGTCGTTTTTAAGGGCGTTCCCTAAGATGTGCAAATCTTTCCCATATGTGAATCCAAGCCTCTGGAGGGTACCGTATGTCTCTGAAGCAGACTGCATACTCACACATCGTCTGCGGATGGTGTCTATATCTATGCTAGTCCTTCCTTCTGGCTTCTCCGACCGAATCTGACACTCGGCAACTTTTATTTTTTTGTTGTATATTGCAAGCGACCAGGTTCGAACGTCATCACTTTTCTTTACGATGATGTCCGCTGATAAGCGTTCTCCCTTAGAAAGGTTCAATGGATGTAGATATTTTGCGGAAATGTCCATCACCATTTCCCCTTGTTGAAATATGTGTTTTCCAACTTCGTATGCAACTTCCAAGTACAATGCTCCTGGTACTATGATTGTGTCAGACACTACATGCTCGTAGAGAAACCATGTTGATGATGGTGACATGTTCATCTGAAATTGCATTTTCTTTCCTCCGACTCTTTCTACAAACAAATGTTGAAAATGCGGACTTTTCACCCCAGCGTAATATAACAGTGTTATATTAGACTGGAAAAGATGTGGTTCGGCTGGGTTCAGCTGGCATGAAGGGATTTCTGTTAGCCTGGCGGTACTCACAACGTTTTTCCAGTCAACCTCTATTCCATTTTGGTAGAGTGTCATTACTGCAAGCCTCATAGTGGCGAGCTCCTTTTTTTCCAGCATAGAAGCCACGACGACTGCGTTCTGCTTTTCAATGATATTTGACAAATGGAATTTCAATACAGGCTTCGGCCCGATCTCTATGAAGATGTTTGAGTTGTCATTGGCAGTTGCTTCTTTGATGGCCTGTCCGAATAAAACTTGTTCCCTCACATTTCGTTTCCAGTAGCGTGAAGTGGAAAAGTCATCAGGTCCTGCCTCTCTGCCAGTCACCGTTGAAATAAGAGTACATGCTGTCGGTTGTCGACTGGCATTGAATCCATTCAGGTTCTTTTCCAGAAGCTTGCTGGCGTTGTCTACATGGTGACTATGATACCCACATGAGACTTTCAATTTCCTGAGCAGTACTTTGTCATTGTTCAAGACGTTTTCCTGCATCAGCTGGTCTACAGCATCGTTGTCCCCAGATAATGTGAATGCAAATGGACTACTATAGACAGCCACGTTTACCTTTCCGTTGTACTTCTGACATAACTCTTCCACAATGGACCTATCACAATTGCTAATAACTAGCATAGCACCTCCAGTTGCGCTTGAAAGCGATTTTGACCTATAGTAGATCACCTTAACGGCTTCTTCGAGGGTAAGAGCTCCAGCCGCGTAAGCGCCCGCCACCTCTCCAACTGACTGGCCAACAACCGCATCAGGTTTCACTCCGTAATGACTCCATAATTCGGTAAGCGCAACCTGACAGGTGAATATTGCCAAATGACAAACAAGTGGGTCGCTCACATCAAATGCATCTATTAGCTTCTCCATAATTGACCATCCAGTTAGAGGAGACATGAATTGATCGACTCGCTGTATGGTATCACGGAAAACCTCTTCTGTTCTTATTAGTTCTCTGCACATCCCTGGCCATGTTGTTCCGACACCACAGAAGACAAAAACGATGTTTGGTTTTGTTGATGTCGTCGGTTTCTTAGAATCTAGCTGTCGGATCTCATCGTTACAGAGTTTTGGAATATCATCGCATGAAGAAGCCTGAAAAGCAACTCGATATTGGTAATGGTCCCGTCTGCAGGTTGATGTGTAGGAAATGTCCTCGATGTGATATTTGGCTTCCTTCACCTTCAGCTGCATGTGCAGAAGATTCCTTTTAAGTGACAGTTTATCCTTTCCGGACACAGTGATGATATGTTGTACTGTGTCGTTTTTGTTGATCTCTGTACATAAAGGTACTTTGTTTTCTTCTTGCTTGATGATGGCATGGCTATTGGTTCCGCCAAATCCAAAAGAGTTGACGCACGACAACCTGAATCTATCATCGGAAGGACATGGCCAATCTGCAAGGGTTTGAGCTATCTCTAAATTGTAATTTTCCAGATCAATTTTAGGATTTGGTGAACGAACGTGAAGTGATGGAACAATCTTACCATGTTTCATCATCAGCAGTACTTTTATAACGCCGGCCACACCAGCTGCAGACTCTAGGTGACCAATGTTAGTCTTCACTGAACCGATGGGAACAGCAGGTCGGCATTCATCATCTACATCGCTGATTTCTGCGAAGAATTTTCCCAAGGTATTTGCCTCTTTGGGATCGCCCACTGGAGTACCTGTACCTGATGCAACGAAAGCAGACTTATCTTACCCAAGAGTACCTTTTGTAAGATTTTGACAAGAATATACTTATATTTGAGATGTCATGTTAACTATGACAGGGTTTGTAAACTTGTTTGCACTCGTGTCTTTTATACGAAAAATCTCAATAAAATGGAGTCATAAACAGCAGCAGATTTCTTTTAATATTACAACTTTGCAAAGTAAATGTCGCTATTTCTAAATACCATTTTATATAAAGAGTAATGAAGAACATATTTTTCAAACTTATTCATAAATAAATAGATTATAATTAACACTATGCTCATCAAAGAGTCCCAAAACAGGCTGGAAATGTTTCAAAGGGTAGGAGTTTGCGTCTATAAAGATATATGAATGTTCTCACCATGAGCTTCAATGTACTGAATCTTCCTCGGGTCAATCCCTTTGGTTCTGTATATTTGCTCAAGAAGATTCATCTGTTGCAGCGTAGAAGGAGCGGTAATGGGTGTCGTTGTTCGACCATCCTGGTTGATTCCAGTTGATATGGAAGCCCAAATTTTACTGCCATCAAGTCTTGCCTGATTTAAAAGAATTTATATTGTAATCATTTATCAGTGGCATTTATCTATAAATAAAAGAATTTTAAAGATAATTTGGTAGATAATTTCATTTTTTTCACAATGCAGACAACTGAACGTTTTTTCTCTCCAAATTATTATTAATTGAATGAACATTAACCTGTTTTCTTGTTTTCAAAATCAAAATTCCACAACCCTCGCCTCGAGCATAACCATCCGCTTTGTTGGAGAAAGCCTGGCACTGTCCAGTTGGTGATACCATCCGAGCTCTGCTGAGTGGTACGGACATATCCGGATACAGAATGCAGTTTACTCCACCGCAAATAGCTATTTCACAGTCACCTGAAAAAATAACACAGAGACATGTACAATAACAAAGAAACTAAATTATCTTCATGAATCAAAATGCACCCTTTGTACCAATGTAGTCACTGTGTTTCCAACCCAAATCCGTCGTTAAAGTTTGATATCCACATTTGTGAGGTACTAAAAATTATAGCTACAAATAATTTTTAACATCTTGTTTAATGCTTAATCTAAAGGACTGCTAATGACATCCATCTCGTATCCATAAGTGCATCTCTTTCGTAGTCATAATGACGCCAGCAACATGCACCTGGTCAGAATGGCTGTTGCATTTGAAAGACTGCCGGTAATGATTAACGAATTTTAGTTTATAGCCGTAAAAAGTAAGCTTAAATTGAAAAAAAAATCAAAATAAAAGCAAGCAATTTTTTTTATATATTGATAATTTTATAGATATCAATTCCTGAGCAGGCAAACATGAAATTTCAATTATAAATGCCAACTCAGTGTTTTAATGAGTCTCTAATATACGCTTTGGTCTGATACCATGAGTAAAGAAATATTCTAAACGTTCAGGTAACTTATTTTAGAAGTATGTGAAAAATCTTATAAATGGAACACACTATTGTATGATAAGAGAATAGCTGTGGTGTAATGTGGATAGCTCATACTTTAGTTTACCTAAAAAGTCAGTTGAACCACTAACATCGCCTTATATTTTGAACTTATTTTTTCAAATAGTTCTTTGATCACTAAGGATGCCCTATTTTCAATCTATCAGATGATCTTGGCACCAGATGGGGCCAATAATTTTAGATAAAAGAATGGAACATACCACATTTGATGCCTTTTGCTGCTTCATGGATTGCGACAAGGGATGAAGAGCAAGCGGTGTCTATGGACATGGCTGGACCTAGTAGATTGTAGGTATAAGACACCCGTGCCGATATAATAGAAGGCGAGGCTCCTGTCAGTGTGTAGTTGGAAGTCCGCGTTAGGTCATCACAACATGTGATTCTATAGTCATCATTCATCGCACCTGAGCAGAAAAACAATACAAAACTTGTCTTTTGATATAATGAAAATCATTAGTACTTAATAAATATCCATGGTTACTGAAAAATAGCCGTTATCCTGTTATCAATTTGAATTACTTTAAAGTTAATGAGAAAAAACTGATCACTTTATCAATCGCAATCAAACAGTAAAGAAACTGCTTTCTTTTTTATTTAAAGTTTTAAAGTTCTAGAGGATTCTTTCCTCTGAAGTAATACCAATCAAAGGCGAGGAAATAACTGCTGAAGTATTTTTTTCCTATTAGAAATACCCCCGGGTACCTGTTTCAAGTTTAATGTTTAATTTGTATAAAATGTTCTTGTCATACCTATATACACTCCAGTCTGTGATCCAAATATCTCATTTTTCGTAATACCACCATCTTCAAGAGCCATGTGTACACAATCCAGGACATAGCGCTGTTGGGGGTCCATCCGTGCAGCCTCAATGTCACTAATGCCAAATTGTTTATTGTCGAACTGGTCATATCTGCAAAGAAGCAATCAATTAAGAATAACAATATGTCTTGCTGCAATATACCTAAGATGTTTTGATGTATCCAAAAATAACAAGCTGCATTGTTCCTGTAGCATAACATTCTATATCTATTGGTATACTTTAAGTGAAAGAAAACTCGATAAAAAGGTGTGTAGATGATTTTGCTTTGATTTCGATTTAAAGAGAACGTACATTCATTAGTTTATACAGAGCTATACGATTATTCCCTATGAAAAAATCACGAACCTTCATTTTCCTTGATAGTCATTATTGGAATATATCTATAGCTATATATCTAAAATCAAAACTAGATTAAAACACATTTAATGTGACATATTTAAATTAAAATGTTATGCAAATATCTCGTACATAAACTGTATTATAAACACCAGTCATACGCAATTACTGTATTTTAAAGACCAGTCATATATAATTACTTTATTATAAACACCAGTCACATATAATCACTGAATTATATAGACCAGTCATATATAATTACTGTATTATCAACTGCAGTCATAGATAATTATTGTATTATATAGACCAGTCATATATAATTACTGTATTATAAACACAAGTCATATATAATTACTGTATTATAAAGACCTGTCATATATAATTACTGTATTACAAACACAAGTCATATATAATTACTGTATTATAAACACCAGTCATATATAATTACTGTATTATAAACACCAGTCATATAAGATTACTGTATTATAAATTCAAATTCATTTATTGACTTTGAGCTTTACAGCTTATCAGTATGTACACAATACATATAAATACAGTGGCAGGCAATGCAATACCGCAGTGGAGAATGGACAGAAAATGCATGTAGTTACATATATTTTAACATTATATCATGCTATTCCTCAACTGGGTGGCATCATATATATATTTACTTAACATAGTTAATTCTTTAAAGTTCGTTGTACTCAATAATTATATCAGCGTGAAAACTGATGGTTTTTTCCAGTAATACAATTTTATACGTCTCTCTCTGAAAGCTTGATAAAATGGACAAATAAACAAAAAATGATATTCGTCTTCAATATCTTCAGAATTACAAATTCTGCATATACGTTCATTTCTAACAATGTTTCGGTATCTCCCGGTTTCACTATACAGCATATGCGTTGATAAACGTAATCTAGTTAGAGCAATTCTATTTCGCTTTGGTATATATTTACATAAATATTGTTGCAATGTTAAATTATCAACTAAATGTCTATACAAAAAACATTTCGAGGAATTCTCTAATATTTCAAACAATTTTTGCCGTGCATTATCAAAGATTCTCTGTTTAACAATTGGCAGGGCAACAGACGGGTTCACATTGTGTTGATTCAACCACACTTCGCCAAGACCCAGTGAAAAAAGTTTGTCTTTCACAAAAGTTACCCAATTACTGTATTATTAAGACCAGGCATAGTTAATTATTGTTTATTAACACAAGTCATATCTAATGACTGTATTATAAAGACCAGTCATATATAATTACTGTATTATAAAGACCAGTCATATATAATTACTGTATTATAAATACCAGTCATATATAATTACTGCATTACAAAGAACAGTCATATATAATTATTTTTTATAAAGACTAGTCAAAAATAATTACATTTTTATAAAGACCAGTAAAAAATTTTTATTTGTTACAAACAAAAGTCATATATAATTACTGTATTATAAACACCAGTCATATATAATTACTGTATTATAAAGACACCAGTCATATATAATTAATCACTGAATTATATAGACCACTGTATATATAAACACAAGTCATATATAATTACTGTATTATAAAGATATATAATTACCAGTCATATAAGATTATATATGATTACTGTATTATAAACACAAGTCATATATAATTACTGTATTATAATATATAATTACTGATCAGTCATATATAATTACTGTATTATAAACACCAGTCATATATAATTACTGTATTATAAACACCAGTCATATATAATTACTGTATTATAAACACCAGTCATATATAATTACTGTATTATAAAGACCATATATAATTACTGTCATATATAATTACTGTATTATAAACACCAGTCATATATAATTACTGTATTATAAACACCAGTCATATATAATTACTGTATTATAAATATAAAGACCAGTCATATAAAATTACTGTTTTATAAAGACCAGTCATATATATATATACTGTATTATAAAGACCAGTCATATATAATTACTGTATTATAAAGACCAGTCATATATAATTACTGTATTATAAACACCAGTCATATATAATTACTGTATTATAAACACAAGTCATATGTCAGTCATATATAATTACTGTTTTATAAAGACCTTCCATATTGATTAAACTTCTACATTTACCATAATACTAACATGTTATTGTTTATCACAGGTAAGAATTATCACCTGTAAGGTAGTGTTTCGTTGAGCTATAAATATCGAGAAGTCTGCTGGGCACATGTGTAAGAATATTGTTGTGACTACCTGTGTTCGTAGTGAAATACCTCTGTTGTAGATACATACATACTGAGTTATATAAGTTATCGATGGATTGATTAGCTGCATATTTCTAATTTTGTGAATTATCATCATTTCCAATTTAACTGTTTAAAGTGTATTAATTGATTGAAAGTTTCTGAGCAACTTCTTGAAGCAAGAAATCTGAAAGCCAACCATACTTGATTTTTTCCTCGTTTTGGTTATCATTCTCATCAAGTACCAGGCGACTGTAAACTCTAACCAGGCTAATGTGTACACCTCAACGGGCCACACAAACAGGAATGGCATGCATATGGGTAAGTTTCTCGGCGATTTACCAAACACAGTCTATGGATAGATAACATGTATTTTGTAACACCTTCACATCAACTTTTTTTAAAGTGGTGAAATCAACTTGTCAAGCAATAGTTTATTCTATCAGTGAGTGGAAGGAGTGGGCGTTTGGCTGTAGGTTACGTATGAGTCATACACAAATACGATCTGTGCGAAAATAACTGTGGAGTAGTGAATTTTGATGACCTTTATTTGGCACGTGTGTCATGACTACGGCGATTCTATTTCGGTTTCCTTTTTCTTCGAACTTTAGCTTAGGTGCTTAGAATCGAGATCCTTGTCTTACTTATGCACTAGTCGGATGCAAGATTCCAGGAAAAACTTTGAAAGCAACTGGAATCTGACCGGGGCTAGGTCTAATAACATTAGACTGACAAATCCATATAAATTGTACATATACACAAGTTGATTTGTTTCTATTTTTGGAGGTTTTTTTTTCGTTGATTGGATTACTGTTGTATGTTCTAAATTAACGTTTTCTTTTCACACAATTTCGGTCATTTCCATGCCTTTACTTTATTTTTTTATGTAAAACTCTTATTTTCAAGGAAGTATCAAGCTTCAGTTTAAAATCGATGCATGAATGTCTCGCCCGTGCTGACGTTGTGAAAAATGACATTATCTTAGCTATACAGCTGCAGTTAATATGCGACCCTAAAATTCATATTATGATCGGATCCGTGTAGCACTGAATTACATACATAGAGCATGCCACTTTGTGATTAGGAAGAAGATTAACCAACAAATGTTACTACATACATAACTATGCTACGTACCCTTTCAGTAGACCAGCTTTCCTGACGTAGGTTTTTCCGGGCTCGTCCGGATCTTCGTGGTAAAAGGCTTCCAGGTTCCATCTTTCCGGAGGTATCTCAATTACGTGGTTCTCGCCATTACGCAAAACCCTCCAAAAGTCGTCAATGTTGTCAGCCCCAGGGAACTTCCCTCCGACTCCAACAATAACGATATCGTCGTCGTCTTCTTTCATTTTTTCGATGAAATCTTCTTTATCTAAAATATAAAAAATAGTGTGAAACTGCAGTTTAACTAAACTACTTGTTGTTATCCTCGGAGAAGCTAAAAAATAAAGACGGTGCTGTAGGAATTCCATTACTAAGGTGAGGCCGATTCAAATATGTTTTCGAAAAGAAAAAACCTTGCTATCGAATATCATCAGACAAACGGACCAATGACACTAAGATAAGAGGCACTATCGATTTTAACTGCTACTACAATTCATTCCGTTATTTTATAAAAATAAGAAATCAGAAATGTTTTGAAGTACATCACATCTCTAAAACTATCCGGAATTTAATTTTTATCGGCAACAACTAAGTAATTTACCATTAATTAGAAAATTAATTTAAGCTGAAAAACTACTAAAGGAGAAGAAGTTATCATATAAGAATAGATATGTGTTAAATACAAATTATTTGATAAAGGTCATAATGTACGTTATCGTTTCTCGAACAGTCAGCTGTTATTTACTTTGCTCTTAATTCTGAAGATAGACTGTCGGAGATATAACATGACGTAAATCGACTTCTGTCGCCAACGCCTTACCGTGTGTGTACATACGTTAATGATAAAAACACATATCTCAGTATCCTAAACCGTTTTCAAAAACAACTACAATAACAAAAACAACAGGTCTTTTCACCGCCCTAATAAAACTATCGCTTAACACATATCATCATGAATAAGCTATAGTACCCACCATGTTACAAAGCAAAGTCTTCAAACTAATACACTGCGCTTTCAGCGCTTGCTTATATGTACCTATTGGCAATCACGTGACCTCGGATTTTCTCAGAATCAAAATAACCCGATGCAATTGTATTGCCTTTCGTGGAAAAACCAAGAAAGTCCCATTTCATAACGGTAAATATAAGTAGTGACTGGCCTCCCAGCTTGGGTGGGCCCAGAAATTTATTAATAGAACCCCATCAAGAACTTGGTGATTTCTAATGGTCATTTTCTCCGTTTTATTTACTTGTGCGTAGATTAGAATTAATGTATGAGGTTAGATATCTTGGATTTTTATCAAATGTTTAGTGAGTGTCATCTGCGTGTCTTAGTTAATTACATTAACAACAAAACAAATCACAAAAGTTAACATAGACGGCAATCACAAGATATAGTCAGTATCCATTTGTTTCTCATAATGTTTTCATCGAGAATTCTTAATGTGCTGATGAACGTAACTTAGAGAACGCATACTGATGTATATGTACATTTCATTTTTAAAGAATTTTATCGACAAACCAGACAAGCTAGCGTATATATCCACCATATAGCAATTCAAAGAGGGTATTTCAAGTAGATCTGAATTACATATGAAACACACACCATACACATACACACTCTCAGAAACATACCACCTATAGCAAATTGTGAAAGTGTTAATATTAATTTTAAAAAATATCTATGTCAGTTTTGAGTATTGAATATTACAACATGACAGCTAGTTTTAGAACCATGCTCAACAGCAATAACATTAATCTTTATGTAATTAATTTGTACCAGCATATCAATACGTTAAATCTGTGTATCATACCCGGTCGAAGACTTTCTTAAATTTAACAGGTAAATCATGTTGTTTAAATTGAGACTCGTGTTTCGTTATTATAGGAATCTGCTATAGTACTGTACTCTTTGCGTTTGTTTGAGTTTCAGAAGTATTGTATTTTCGTCTTATTGTATTTGAACATTTTAAGGGTGATACAAGCAATCAACATTTATAATCATGAGATTTATTGGATTATAGATAACTATGTATCCAGGTCTATATCATGACACCATTTTAAATTTCCTCAAATCTTAAAATAAAATTTCCGATTACATGGTTTGGAAATATAAAGATTTTAAAACGTTTAACAGATTTGTGTAGTTATATTTCTTATATTTAACATTTTTGATATATCTATGAATATTGAAATATTAATGTTATATATTTCATGTTTTTAGCTGTTCCCCGAACTCATATAGGTTCCAAAAATAGATACCTACGCAAGATGGCTGTCCAATGTATATTTAGACATTCCTGGTCTCCAAGAATAATATATTCTTATCAGAGTAGTGATAAAGTGTTCTTGAAATGAACGTTACAAGATAAAGTGGAAGAATGATTTTTTAAATTAATGACAGGTCAAACGCTTTGACATTTTATTGTTCACAGTTGTTTTAGCAAACGTTTTCATCGCAACGATTTCAAGAATTCTGCGTATAAATACCGCCGATGCAGTGATCAGGTGCTGCCCCTCCGACAGACATGACGTATAAATACCGCCGATGCAGTGATCAGGTGCTGCCCCTCCGACAGACATGACGTATAAATACCGCCGATGCAGTGATCAGGTGCTGCCCCTCCGACAGACATGACGTATAAATCTCACGATAGATGTGATAAGAAACAACTGATTCATATCATGAACCAACAAATGTGACCTGAACGAAAGACGGTCATTTCTCAGCCACGCAACCTTACAGACTATCTGTACAATATATAGTAAACTATTTATGGAAATAAATGTATACTTGTAGAGAAGGAGGATTGGTTTCCGCCTTACCATGTACCGACATATATTAAATGTATATCAGTATGATAAGTATTCCCACACTGCAGCGCGAAATGTGATGAAGTATACTTAGCGCACAAGGTAACCTACCATTTCTGATAAAGATCAAGTTTAAAAGGAAATATGACTTAATATGTCGAAACTACGGTAAATATGGTTCGGGTTAAAATGAAACACTTGAATATTAATATACAATCATCAAATTTCCATGTCATTGGGTCTTCTGTCATTGTCGCTTTTATTAGTAAAGCACTTGAACATGACTATTCAAATGATGATCACTTCAGAAAAGTGCTGTAATTGATAATTGTTGACTATTGTATATGACTGACGTACAATATTGAATCCAGGAAGTTTGTTGGGAGTAAACTAAAAATCCTATATAGGAGAACATATTGATTCATCAATTTAAGTATCGTGTATACCAAATAAGGGCAAAAACTACACAACTGTTCTTGTAGAAAACAAATAAAATAAATTTCAATGAAAGATAATTTATTTCAATAGATTACAGTTTTAAGTTTAAGTGATGAGTTCAAAGTTTCACCCCTTCAAAAATACAATCGCCGATATAAACAAGGATGTAACCTATATGTACCTGATATAAACGAATAAGAAAATGTAATGAATTCATTCAAAGTGTAAGACTTTTAGCTTCGTGCGAGGTGAGCTATATAGTTACCCTTGCGTCCGGCGTCCGTCCGGCGCTCTTAGAATTCAATTTCGCTACAGGAAATGTCTTTGTCAAAACTGGTCCAGATACAAGCTAATTATGAAACCAATGAAAGAATATGTTTAGTATAAGGTGTATGACAGTAAACGCACTATATATATAAAAGACAACAGGTATCGGTTTTATTATCAGCAAAGTACACAGGAACTAATATCGTATAATAATAAAACACAAGTGTCTAAACTGGGAATAACTTAAAACCATTCACATGTAATAGTACTGGGCACAGGTTCGTCCAGCAGGACAGACAAATACAGGCTGTAGTCTGACATGTCGTCTGGGGTTCCCTTAATTGTCCCAATGTCAGGAAAGCCGAATTCCATTATGGGACTGGGAACGTTTACTATATTGTGGAAAAAAGTTAGTGTATTTGCAGATGCAACTATTTCCCTCACAGATAATCCCGATCTTTAGCAGTTTAAACAAGTCAATAACAAGGATATTGTATCATTTAGGATATGCAGTTTATAGATATACTTACTTTAAGAAATTAATGGTATAAAAGTTAAGTTAAAATTCCCTAGGAATTGTTTTATTAGTAAACATATGATTCGATTTTCAATATGTAGAAATGCTAGCAGTGTCTTTTACCTCCTACCTGTAATTCAAGTTCGGAATTATTTGTTTTTTAACCATCGGTTGTAACTACATGTGTTTTAAATACCATAGCTTAGACAATGTTTTAAAGGGCACTGTTGGTGAAGGCTATCGACAGGTTTGCATACGGTACCGAGAAGACAGAGGGAAACGCTATAAAGGAAAAACCGACGACAGGACAATTACCCGGAACGAAGTTTTAATCACCACGGTATGTAACGTCACAACAGGTGGGATGTGTTTATCATTCAGCCTGTAATGGCAGATAATTTTCTCTTGTCTTACATGTAAGATAGTAGAATTTCTGTTTATCTTCCCTGTAATGACAGATAATTTTCTCCTGTCTTACACGTGAAACAGTAGAATTTCTGTTTATCCTCCCTGTAATGACTTACATGTAAATCACGGAGTTTCTGGTTACTTTGCCTCCAATATCGGGTAATTTTCAGCCCTTACCTTATAAATTCGTCCATTACTTTACTGACAATTTAGCTCACTTATCAAACATTCAATCAGACCGAACCACTATCGCTGAAAAATAAGACATATCTACAACAATTTCTCTGTGACACCATACAAGATAATAGTACCACATGTTTTCAGTTATACCACTTTGATCTGTCTGGGTCTGATATGCTGCAAATTGCCGAGTTGAGCAGGGGTCTTCGTCTCATTAAGGAAGAGATGTAAGTATTTGGACAGTTAAAACAGTACAAACGTAAATTTTGGATGAGTATCTTGGAAACCCTTCTGGATCTTTATCAAGAAATACAGTAAAACTTGTCTGAACGACCACCTTTATACAAAGGCCACCTGATTATGAAGGCCGTTTTTGGTTCCATATGTAATTCAATTCATAATAATTAAAACCTGTCTATAAAGCCCTCTTTTCTCTGTTCCATTGAGAGGCCTTTATAGACAGGTCTAACAGTACAGCAAGTCTAATGACTATGATTTCTCAGACATTAAGGCCCCTCGTTTTGGTAATATGTGATGTAGGGTACCATTATAGGATGATATATATCAACTTATGTATAGAGTATTTTGATCTATAAATGAAGTAATAAGAAGTCTCAGGCAGTATTTTGAGGAAGCTGGTGTTGATGTTAAAGTTCCATTCCTACAGGAAACCGACTGGCTGCACAGGTAGAGATTACATTGTTTTTGTTTTAATCATTGTCCATCCAATAGCTTTCCTTGTCACAGCAATATCGGTCTCGACATCTGGCAATACTGAATGGTCTTGGCATGTTGAAATGCTATGTAGAAGCTCTGGCGTTCCTGTTGGGTGAGGCAGCGTTTTATTCTGAATGTTTTGGATATTGATACTCTCGACTATATTGACTTTTCTTCCCAATGAACAATGAAGACGTGAAGTGTGGGTGCCATGACTCTAACTCAAACCCGGAGGAGCAGACAGCAGTATATCTAAACAGAATAACCAGTTTTTTGTTTGTTTTTTGTTTTTTTGTTTTTTTGTTTTTTGTTTTTGTTTTTGTTATATATATATATTTTCATTTTTATTTTACAATTTCAACAAATTATATAAACTTTTTATATGTTAATTGCATCAGACAAAAGGCTATACCAATGTAAGTCGTCTCCAAACTTAGTTAGAACAAGTTAAATGGGGTGAAGTAGAGGAGGGGAGGTAACTCCAATCTGTGAAAGTACTTTGATTTATTTTATTCTTATTATGCAAATAATACAAATTTGTTGAAAATTTATCATACTTGAATTCTGGGATGCAGGTCATAAAGTCCTTGTGTATATACACTAGGTTTTGTTATTTATTATCAGGAGAGGGTTCCATTAGTATACATTACTTTCATTTGGGAATATCTTGTGTAATATTAGTAATTTGCTCGTAAATGTTTTACAGAATTAAATACAAAGTTATCTTTCAGCAATATTTTTCTATTGCAGAGCGCCTAGCCATTCATTTCTAACTCTCTACGGTGAATTCTGTGAAGTCAAGGAACAATCGAGACAGCAAAATAAAGCATGAATGATAGGAAGATTCTTTATAATCGGAGTAATATTTGACAACAAAAGCAACTATTTCATCTGACAGATTATCTACATACATTCATCAGTAAGTAAAATGACACGGTCGACAAGACTTGTTGATATAAAATTAAAACGTTTAATAAGCTGTTATTAGGCGATGTTTAGTAATCCAAATATTTTCTTTTTGAATTTTAGGAATAATTTTGGAATTATAAACAAAATTTTTAAAACTCAGGTTTCTCCCCACCCCCTTCCATCCATTTCGTGAATATACCGTAACCCCCACACCCCCACCCCTTCTCCTTCCGTATGTTACCTGGTCTGGGTTTTCTCCAAATTCTAAAATAGTTCGAGATTCTTTAAATTCTTCCTCTCTAAGATTACTCCGTGTTTCCTTATAAGAAGAAAAGGAGAAAGGCATACCTCTAATTTTCAGTGGTAGAGTTTATAAAAACAGTTGATCATTTATTTTTAAAAAAGCTGAAGTTCACTATCAGGAATACAATTGATTAAATCTATATAATATAAAGGTAGATAATAGTTTTACTTCATCTCGATAGCACATCTTTTTTACAATAACAAGATTATCAAGTTCGTAAATAATAGACAAATTGTTTAATTTCAATCTGTTCCTCTCTTAAATTCGTTAAAAGTTAAAGTAATTAGTGGTGATGAGTTATCTTCTCTTTATCCTGTTTCAGTTCGATATGTGTTCACATTAAAAAGAAAAAGTTCTGAGTCAAGTCAAATATCCAATCTTGTCTTGTCGCCATTTGTAGCGTCTAGTGTCTGCATATCGTTCCCTGTATAAATCAATTATAGCCTTACTGTTAATTATTTCAAATTGTCTTTAAATACAATTTTATAAATAAATATGTAATCATCATCATTACCTGGTGTTAGGTTTAACATTGAATTCCCTAAATGTTCAACAGCATTAAATACTTGATTACAGAATCAGAATAATTCTTTAATTATTTAAAAATCAGTCTGAATTTACACCCTATAATTTATCAATTGAATTTTAGGAAAGTCGCTGATAGGGTATGACACAAAGATTTCACGTCTTAATTATGCTTTACTGATATAAGTTGATTATATAAAGATTGATGTGATGGCAGTTGAAGATGGTTATTATCAGTTTACATTAATTTACCACAATAACAACAATGATTTCTTTACCTAGTAGCACTCGGTTATGAATTAACTAATAACTGAAATGTTGTAATATTCAATACACAAAATCGATACATACTTTCTAAATAAACAGTATTATTCATTCAATTTGTTTGTTTTTGGTTTATTGTCTTTTTGGATGGGTTTGTGTGTGTTATGAGTACAGCGACAATGGCAATGTGAGTTACCTCCCTTTAATTAGCAAATTCTCAAGCCAGCTGTGTATTACTTTGCCTGTTTCTGTTATACCACCTTTGTCAATGAAATTCGTTTGAAATGTACATTTAAATGCATTATTACTTTCTTGATATATCTATAAGTTCATAATACCTCTTATTACTCCAAATGAACCGATGTTAGTTAAATTTGGTGACTAAATCAAATCGATCACATCTCTGACACTCGATATTTGATACGAAACTAACATCTACACGCAAAGATTCATTCCTATTTATCTACAACTGGATATGATGGTACAAAAATCCTTAGAAATCTCCATATCCCTGAGAGAAACTGATCGTAGTCTAGGAATAGAGAAATTGGTAATCTAGCCAAGCGTGTCTCCTTCACCATTCTTTTCTTCGCCTCGTAATTTAGTTGCAGTCCCGTAACAGCCATATGTTATAGATGCGACGCTGATAGGGAAGATTCTTGGCTAGAAGGATTTCGATGGTAGGTCATACAAATTGCTATCAAGTTTTGAGCAAGTTAGCTTGTTCAGTTGTAGATTACGTTGTTTTTGAAAACGGTTGCAGCTTTGACACACTTTTTATTAGGGTTATCGGTTGGGCGTTGTTTATATTGACAAAATTAAAACAGGAGATATTAACAGACGCTCTTAACTGAAGTAGTCCTTCAGAATACAGAGCAAAGTGATTCTTCAGAATACAGAGCAAAGTCCTTCAGAATACAGAGCAAAGTGATTCTTCAGAAAACAGAGTAAAGTGATTCATCAGAGCAAAGTAATTCTTCAGAATACAGAGCAAATTAATTCATTAGAATACACAGCAAAATAATTCTTCAGAATACAGAGCAAAGTCCTTCAGAATACAGAGCAAAGTGATTCTTCAGAAAACAGAGTAAAGTGATTCATCAGAGCAAAGTGATTCTTCAGAATACAGAGCAAAGTCCTTCAGAATACAGAGCAAAGTGATTCTTCAGAAAACAGAGTAAAGTGATTCATCAGAGCAAAGTGATTCTTCAGAATACAGAGCAAAGTCCTTCAGAATACAGAGCAAAGTGATTCTTCAGAAAACAGAGTAAAGTGATTCATCAGAGCAAAGTGATTCTTCAGAATACAGAGCAAATTAATTCATTAGAATACACAGCAAAGTAATTCTTCAGAATACAGAGCAAAGTGATTCATCAGAATACAGAGCAAAGTGATTCTTCAGAATACACAGCAAAGTGATTCATCAGAGCAAAGTGATTCTTCAGAATACACAGCAAAGTGATTCATCAGAGCAAAGTGATTCTTCAGAATACACAGCAAAGTGATTCATCAGAGCAAAGTGATTCTTCAGAATACACAGCAAAGTGA